TGAATGACTGAAAAAGTGTGCTGAACACTGGAATTTGACACAACAATTTAAAATGATTATGAATCAATAAAAAATGTTAAAAAAATTTAGGACCAAGTGAAAGGAAACGTTTCAACTTCATAAACTAAAATAAAGTCTCATTTATGCTGGAAAAAAAAGAACTAAGTTAAAAATCACAGCTGAGCAATGTTGGGCAAATCACTTTGCCTCCCTGAGTTTCCATTTGTCTCATCCCTACAGTGTATCAGAATAATGATTTTTATTTCATAATGTTGCTTTAGGGAATTAAATGAAATAAGGGACAGGACATCACTGTGACTGGCAGGAAGTAAACTGTTAATTAACTTATATTAGTAGTCCTGGCCTCCTTGTCCTCAGAGAACTCTTTTTAAGAACGCTGCTTTCCTGTTACTCCATTTCCTCTTTCTTGTTCCTTTTACCTTGGATGCAGGTGAAGGCCTCTGCACCACCTATACACAGTTACTGGGGAACTTGGCATATGCCCTGGGCTTAGATTTGGGAACATTAGAAGAGGTGAACTGAGAACAGATGTCCAGGGCCTAGAACTGGCTGCGAGAAGAGGCTACCAGGCACAGTCACAGGTTACCATGACAACTAATTCACATCTTCTGAGCCTGAGACACCTCACTTGGGAGAGGGAGGGTGAGAGAAGGCACAGAGAGCAACAGGGCTTGTGCTGCAGGGTTCTGGTTTTGGAGTAAGGGAAGACTCGGCAAAGATCAGTACCTCTACACCCAACTTGGTGTCCTCAAAATTTGTCTTGCTCTCTGGGGCTCAGTCCATCTTGGTTAGAATCTCTCCTCCCAGAATTGCCTCCATTTAAAGTAATGATTCAAGATCAGGAAGGGACATCTTTAGGGAAAAGATACTAGGATATGATGAATTAAGATTACACTAGTGATATTCTAGTACTCCTGGCATGGGAAAGAACTAGAGTCAAATATACTTGCCACCTCTGAACGCCCTCTGTAAGAAGGGAATCAGAACTGAAACCCAAGTGAGTAGGGATAGTTTTTGATCTGTATTCCTGAGCTGGATGGTTAAAGCCAATAAGTTACCTCAGGCATGAACACTTCTTTGAGTATTTAACAAGTCCTTTGCAATGAAAAGTTAGATTGTTAACGAAATAGTTTTAGAGGTCTGTGCATGCATGCATGTGCACATATGTGTGTGTGCGTTATATATGAGTTAGAGCGTTGTCTATAATAGGTGAGAGGATTGAAAAAGGAGTAGTGTGGATACTGCTATAACAATAGTTGTCCACTTCACCAGTATACCTAGAGCCATCATTGGCTCCAAGGCTCTTACAATAAAATGAGCAGGTAACAGGTAGAAAGATGGGGAAGGACATTTCTTGGCTGTGGCTTTGATCTTTGCCTTTTGGTCAATAAAGACCAGGTTAACCAGGATTCTTTCACTGAACCCTTCTTATGTTTCCAACCACATCAGTCCATTTTACTTTCTCTTTTTTGGTATTTTTTGTGAATGTACTCCCTTCTTAAAACTTCTCAAAACTTGAGAAAATCCACCACCCTTTGATAGAAGAGAAAAATCATGGGTTTTTGGAGCCAGGTAAATTTGAGTTCACACTTTAACTCTTGGGTGGGAAAAATACATCCATCATTTGCTAGTTGTGTGAATTTGTGCAAGTAAATTCTAACCCTCAGTTTACCAATCTGTAAAATGTAGGTAATACTACATATATTGCAAGATTGTGAAGATTACCAACAATACATGTAAAGTCCTGGATATAATAAATGATATCCATTTATTATAGTAATATGGTTTGGAGGCGAGTGCATAGACTTTATAGTAAGAAAGCCCTGAGTTCAAATATGAGCTCTACTACCTAATCACCCACAGGCAGATCATCTAACATTTATGAGTATATAGTTTTCTATGTCTTGCTATGAGCATTCTTATTCATGTATTTTGGTGAACTAATGCATATTAGTATTTAGTATTAGCTTCTTGGGTATATACCTAGAAGTGGAATTGCTTGGTCATGGGGCATGCATATGCTTAACTTTAGTATATATTGCTTGCCAGAGTTTTCCAAAGTGCCTGTACCAATTTACACTCCCTTGACAGTGTATGAACAATCCAGCTGCTCCATGTCCTCACCAATTCTGGTATCATTTATCTTTATCATCTTAGCCATTCTGGTGGGTGTTGTTATGCAATATTTTTATTCATTTTCCATGAATAAATAATTCATTTTTCATAGCTCATGTTTCATAGTGATTCTTCTAGATCTTGTCCACTTATTCACTTATTTATTCAAAAAGTATTTATTGAGCTCTCTGTGTGCCAGACACTGTGCCAGTTGCCGGGGACACTCTCCAGAAGCTCTTAGTCCCATGCTCACTCTCCTTCCCTTCTCCAGATAATCTATTGATAACACCAAGACATCAGTTGCATGGTGCACAAATTTCCATGAAAATCTGGAATGTTTCCAGTTTAATGCCATCTCTTCATGTCCAAATATTTCTGTAATTTTAGTTGGACTTTTTTTTTAATTTTCCAAAAAAGTCGATATCACCCCCATATTTGCCAAAGTAAACATTCCACTTAGCTCTTGATTCTACCTTTTCTCGCATTCATCAGGATCTCATTCTTGTCACTATCACCCTTGACCTGGCCCCAAATTTTAATCTCTACATCTGCACTAGCAATTGTTACTTAATAAACATTTTCCTTCAGCTAACAAATGTTCTAGGATCATGCTTACCTTAAGAAGACCTTTCAATAGTCCTAGCACCCCTTAAGTATTTATTTTGCTCCTTTAATTTCACCACACAAAAAAACTCTCCTGAGCATTTTCTACACCCACAGTCTCCAATGTGTGACCCCTACTCTTTCTCATCTTTATCCCCTTGAAATCTGGTTCTATTATGGAACTGCTCCTTGTCAATCACTATAGATGATCTAATCACCCAAATAAATAGTATTTTCTCATCTTTCTTTTTCTCACACCCCTCTACCATGTTGACAATGTTGATCACTCAACCTACTCGAAATCCCTTTCTCACAATTTCTTGTTTCTCTCCCCTCTCCAACGACATCTTTCATCTATCTCCATTATAAGTGCCCCTCTTTGCCACATCAGTTCAATGGAGGCAACCCCCCAAGCTTTTACCATTGGATGTTGTCTCTCCCCAAGTTGATTTTATTCATTTCTGAAGTTGCAAGGATCACTCTTTTGAAATTTCTCCCAGTTTCAATCTCAAGTCCAAACTTCTCTCCAGGATAGCAGTCCCACTCTCTGTGACTGGAATCACCATTTTTCTAATTAGAAAGTCTCCAAACCTCAGCGTCCTTTCTTTCTTTCTTTCTTTCTTTCTTTCTTTCTTTCTTTCTTTCTTTCTTTCTTTCTTTCTTTCTTTCTTTCTTTCTTTCTTTCTTTCTTTCTTTCTTTCTTTCTTTCTTTTAACATTTTTTATTGATTTATAATCATTTTACAATGTTGTGTCAAATTCCAGTGTTCATCACAATTTTTCAGTCATACATGGACATATACACACTCATTGTCACATTTTTTTCTCTGTGAGCTACCATAACATTTTGTGTATACTTCCCTGTGCCATACAGTATAATCTTGTTTATCTATTCTACAGTGTTCTTTATTTAATTTCTACCCCTTCCTCTCCCTCAACACCCACATCCGGTTAGTCACGAACTTATTTTTCTTTTCCTTCACAATGCCTTTCCTCTGTCTATTCCTCTCTTTGGCTTTCTTAGTTAAAGTGCTTAATACACTACCTCACACCCAGGCTATTGTATTGCAATAGCCTCTTAACTGCCTCCAGTTTATCTCCTTTCCCATCCATCCTCTGCACTGCTGACAGATTAATATTCTTAAAGCATCACTTTGACTGTCACTTCACTACTTTAAAATTTCCCATGGTTTCCCATTGTTTACAGGATCCAGTCCCTACATCTTATGCTGCCAATTAGGTGCTTCACAGTTTGGCTGAATCTGTCATTTCTCCTTTCCATATGCTCTGTGCTCCAGCCACACTGTGCTTTTTTCACTCCTTTCCATAAGCTGACTTGCAAATAGTCTATTGGTTAGTTGCATGCATGGGCGCTGGACTCAGATAGGCCCAAGTTCGAAACCTGGTTCTGCCACTTCATAGTTGTATAATATTGGACTACTTATATAGCCTCTCTGGTCTTAGTTTCCTTATTTATAAAATAGGGATAGTAGTGGAATCCTACCATATAGGCTTATTATAAGAATTAAATGAGGTAATGCATCTAGAGTGCTTAGCACAGTGCCTGGTGCTTAGAAAACAACAACAACAAAGAAGGAGCAGGAGTTTGCTATTATTTTATTCATATTATACACTCTTCCTGGTTCTCTGCTCAGTCCATTTCTTCTGCCTTGAATGTCCTCTCCCAATCTCACCTACTGAAGTCCTTTGCACCTTTTAAAAAACATCTCAAATGCTACCTCCTCTAAGAATTCTCCTCTGCTTCTTCTAACTTGAGCACTTTGTTTGAATACCTCATCATTTTTCATCCCACCTTAGAATAAAACCATCAGCCTTCTTTGGCAGACTGAAAGCTCTTTTTTACCCTGTGTTCTAATCATATTTGTGTCACCCACAACATCTATCACAATAGGTGGTATAGAACAGACACTTAATAAATATCTGTTGCCTGACTATGGCTGGAGATCACATCATTAGATGGAGAGGGTTCAGAGATTGGTAAACCATGACTATGGAGTAATTAAAGTTTCTAGTGTTTACACTAGCATCCCCTTTCTTTTCTTTCTTTCTTCCCCTATCTCCTACTCCTGCTTATTTTCTTTTCCATCTTGTTCTTCTCCTGTCCCTAGTCTTGCTAGTGTGCTCCATGGCCATTATTTAATCCTGCTTATGGCCTTTGAGGGCAAAGAGGTTCCTATGACAACCTCATATCTTGTCCCTTTGTCTTTACCGCTTAAGCTTTGATAAAAACCACCCTCCTATCTACTACAAATTCTTACAAGAGGGGTTCATTAAATTTATGATCCAATTCTCCATCTGGAAACTGTGATAAAAATACAGAG